CGACTCTTCCTAGAGAATACATCCTTTGTCCCCCACTGCCTTGTCTTCCTTTTTCCTCATCGTAGCCTCCCTCAAATCTTGTCTTTGGCTTTCCTATCCAATGTCATTATCTCCCTCTTTTTTATACCCATGCTTTCCAGTGAGTGGTTGATTGGTAGAGTTATGGGTTGAATTGTGTCTACTCAAAAGACATGTTGAAGTCCTAACCCCTAGAACCTGTGAATGTGACATTGTTTAGAAATAGGGTCTTTTCAGATGTAATCAAGTTAAAATAAGGTCATACTAAATTAGGGCGAACTGGATAGCTAGTCCAATATGACTGGTATCCTTATAAGAAGAGAAATGTGGACACAGAGACACAAGGGAGAAGGCCATATGAAGATGAAGGCAGAGACTGGATTGATGTATCTACAAGCTAAGAAACGTCAAGGATTGCCGGCAAACACCAGAAACTAGAAGAGGCAAGGAAGTGTTCTTCCCTAGACACTTCTGAGGGAGCCTGGCCCTTGATTTCAGACATCCAGCTTCCAGAACGGTGAGAGAAAAAGTTTCTCTTGTTTTAGGCCACTATTTTGTGGCAATTTTTTATAGGAGCCCTGGGAAACTAACATAGGAGTTAAGGATGTCAAGGTGGAAGGCAATACAATGGAAAGGTTATTTTTTGTTATAACCATACTGTTATATGTTTTATGGGATTTTATATTTTCAAGATGGCTTTTGTATGTGCTTTGGATTAAAAGATCTGAGATTGAGCATCAGTATCATATCTGGAATATGGGGATGTAATGATACCTAATTCAAGAGGTTGTGAGGGGTAAATGGAATAATGTCTATGAAACCGTTTAGTAAAGGATTAAGCTCTGTAAACAAGTTGTTTTCAGGACTATTATAACTGTGCTATAACTATTATAAATGTGTGGAGGACCATGGACTAGAGAACGGAAAACTAGGCCTTTGGCCTCAGTAACCACTTGACATCCCAGCCACATTACTTTGTGTGTGAATGGCCAAGACTCTCTTCAGGTACGTCAATCAGCTTCTGAAAGGTTAAACAGTGCTTCCCTGCCCCCAGGGACGGAAGAGGGAGTGGTCATAGGTCAAGGTTAAGGACTAGGTGGGAAGACCTCCCCCAATTTATTTTTATTTATTTATTTTTTTGAGGAAGATTAGCCCTGAGCTAACTACTGCCAATCCTCCTCTTTTTGCTGAGGAAGACTGGCCCTGAGCTAACATCCATGTCCATCTTCCATTACTTTATACGTGGGACGCCTACCACAGCATGACTTTTGCCAAGCAGTGGCATATCCACACCTGGGATCCCAACCAGCAAACCTGGGCTGCCTAGAAGCGCAACGTGTGAACTTAACGGCTGGGCCGCCAGGCCGGCCCAGACCTCCCCCAGTTTAAACCTTGCCACAAAGTATCCCTTCATTCTCTAAGAACTGTGCAAGGAGGGTGGGAGAGTGAAACCAGGATAGTAAGAAGCTGCTTCTGCCCTCAAGGAGTTCACCATCTGCTGGGGTCAGTGTTGTGATGGAGCTGGCTGTAATGGCGTTGGGAGTGTGCACATTTCCTACAAGAAGAGCCAGGAACCCGGCCTGGGGAAGCCATCCTGGAGGAGGTGAGGTGAAGCTGGTCCACAAAAATTGAGTGGGATTGCCAAGACATCAGTCTTTTGTAGGAAACAGGAAAGGGGATGGTTTCAATTTAGTAAAGATTTATTATCAACTACTCCATTATAGGGTCCATGCTAAGTGTCAAATTAGGGGTGGGAGAAAGAAAGTTTGAAATCAGCATAATCCAGCCCAAGAAGATCTCCCTTTGTAGTCAGGAAGCTAAATCTGCATACAATTGAAGGAAAATAACAAGTTACAGTGTGTGATGTCACTGACTAGGGATTTGAGCGCCCGAAACAGGGAATTTGGACTGATGGGGGTGATTCTGAATGAACATCTGGAGGGGTGTTGCTTTCAGGTCCAAACCCTCATGTCCCCAGCCGTCACCTAACAGGCAAGTGAGGGCTGCTTATGAAATCGGCGGTGCCTCGCCTGCGACCAGGGGAACTGGACGGGGGAGCCTGGCCGGGGCTGACTGCGCTCCCCTGGAATCTGCGCTGGGGGCGTTGGCTCAGCCCGGGCCGGACACCCGGACCCGCCCTCCCGCTGCGGAGACGCGCGCAGCAGCCTGGCGGTCTTCTGGCGACTCCTCACGCCTCCTGTAATCCCGCCACCTTCCAGCTGCAACAGGAGGCTGTAAATGCCCGGGAAGCCCGCCCCGATCCGCCTACTCCACCCCCTGCCCGGTTGAAAGGAGTCAAAGAGGAAGGAACACATGTTAATCTTGAACTCTGGCGCCAATCCTGGGTCTTCTCTGCGTAGGTCATCTTGTCATCCTGTTGGCTCTGTGTTTCCAAGCCCCTCGCCCCTTTTACTTTTTCAGGATCACTCTGGAAACGGGGGCAGTCCTCCTCCTCTCAGTTTAACTTTAATCCCTCACATGGCAAAACTAGAAACGATCAAGATTTTTGTTGTGGTTGGTAGTAGGGAGGGTTGGAGAGCAGGATGCCTCTGGTCCTGAGATTGATTTTGTTTTCTGAACATGAGGAAGTAGAAACGGCAGGCGGTTTTGTCTTTGAGAGGGAAACTATATCCACTGCCACTCCAGACTAAACCGATCTTTGATGAGAATCAAAATCTTTGAAAGGATGTCTGGGTTGTGAGTCAGATTCACTCCCAAATATTGCCTGTGGGAGGCCACACTTAGATCATGTCTTTAAAATTATTTTTAAAGTGTCAACTTTTTTATTACTCAGAGTTTCAAACATACAGAGAGAAAATAACACAATGAACTCTTGTGCACCCATCACCTCCTTCAACAGTGATCAACTCATGATCAATTTTGTTTCATCAATTACATCCCACTCATCCTCCCCCTTTTCCCACTGTTATTTGTAAGCAAATCCCAGATATCATATTTCATTGGTAAAAACTTCAGTATGCCAAAAACTCCCTTTAAAAAAGTACAATGACCACATCTTAAAAATGCGCAATTCTTTAGTATAAATGTAAAATCAATGTTCAAATTTCTGTCTCATACTTTAAAAAGTAAGATTACAATTAATTTGTTCAAACCAGGATGCAAACTAATCCACTAATGCATTTGGTTGAACTGTCTCTTTTAATCTATAGGTTCTTTCTCCCTTTTTTTTCTGGCAACTTATCTGATGAAGAAAACTGATCCTTTGTCCTGTGAATTTTCCAAAACTGGGGTTTGCTGAGTGCTGTGTTGTTAAAGTGATTCTGATAGATCCAGAACCCTGATGGGTTTCAGGTTCATTATTTTTGGCAAGTATCCATGAAGTTGTTACTTCCTGTTGCATTACACTGGGAGGCGCATAATGTTGGATTGCCTCTCTTTTTACGATGTTAGGATTGATCAGTGGGTTCAGGTGGTGTCAGCTTGATCCATCATTATAAGATTCCCCGTCAGCTGTTCGCATAATATTTCTAGCAGCTGCTGATTATTGCCTAAGTTCATTATTTCATTAGGTATTACAAAAAAGTGATATTCTTTCATCCTTTCTTCATTCATTACCTGGAGTTTGTAAAAGAGAACTGTCCCTCAACCATTCGGTTATCCCAGATATGTTTGTACAGAATGGTAGCATAAATACTGAGTCTTTCTCTTTATTTACCAGTTTTCAGAAAGTTGAGTGGGTTCCAAGCATCCTCTAACAATGACCAATGAGTTTAGTTTTTAATTATTATAATGAACTGATGGAATTTTTACATATTTGATGTGTTTCAGTCAATTGCAGTTATTATCCTTATTGATGCTAAGTATCCCATCTTTGACCCTTCAAGTTGGCTCTTGAGTAACTGTTTTTTATGTGAATTCATTCACTCAACTTTTTTTTCATTCTTCTCCCCAAAGCCCCCCAGTACATAGCTGTATATTCTAGTTGTAGGTCTTTCTAGTTCTGCTATGTGGGACACCACCTCAGCATGGCTTGATGTGTGGTACTGGGTCGGCACCCAGGATCTGAACCGGCGAAATCCTGCACCGCTGAAGTGGAGCACAGGAACTTAACCACTCGGCCACGGGGCTGGTCCTAGCTCTTGAGTCATTTTTGAGTAACTCCAGGAGCTTTCTCTCAATCTGGTGTGACAAGATGTTCCAGAGTCATCTTATGTATTTCTTCTCCCAGACCTAGAATAAGCCAGTTCTCCAAGGAGCCATTTTCCTTTCAGTGGGAAATAATATTTAGAGACCACCCTCTGGGTGGAAGCCTTGCCCACTCAGTGCATCCAGATAAGCCATTATTATTAGGTCTTCTTTGTGAACAGAACTAAGAAATACATTTTATTATTTTTAAGAAAAAACACGTCATGAGTTTATACTGTTTTTCTAATTCAAATTTGGAAATACTATGCTTTTATTTCTCTTCTTTTATGTCATATTCATAAGAGAAAATCTAATCTTTTATTTTAGGCTGGTTTCTAGTGAGAGTAACATAATTACTTATTTACTTTACCCTACATACATGTATAGGCACACACATATATAATAGATTCAGTAACAACATTAATATTATTATTACCAAGATGATAACTGAAAAATTTAAGTTTTATTTGCAATTCTTTTTGTCATTAGTATTTATCCCACCAAGGATATACAGTCAAATTATGGCATTTGAAAGTCACATAAAATAACTCTCCTCTGGGTGTTTAAGCTACCAACTACATGCAGAGTTAGGTTTATTTTGTTTATATATATATATATTTCTTTTTTTTGGGGGGGGGGAAGATTAGCCCTGAGCTAATATCTGCCACCAATCCTCCTCTTTTTGCTGAGGAAGACTGGCCCTGAGCTAACATCCACACCCATCTTCCTCTACTTTATATGTGGGATGCCTGCCATATCATGTCTGGACAAGTAGTGTGTAGGTCTGCACCCAGGATCCGAACTGGGGAACCTGGCTGTCCAAGCAGAACATGCAAACTTAACCACTGAGCCACCGGGCTGGCCCTAGGTTCATTTTGTCTTGTTTTAATTTAATTTTGTTTTATAATGATGTTTAACATTTACCTGGCTCCAAATGTACAAAACAAGGTACATTCAGAAAAAACTAATTTCTATCCCTTCCACCTGAGTTTCCTTTTCCCCCATAGGTAACTGTTTCTGTTAGGTTTCGGTTTATCCTTCCATTTAAAAAAATAAATACAAGCAAACAAATATGTATATTTATATTCCCCTTTTCTTAGGTAAAATGTGGCATACAATGTGCACTGTTCCTCACCTTGTTTTTTTTTCACTCATGGATATATCCTGGGGAGAGTTATCCTATAATAATACATAGATAGCCCTTATTTGCAAAATGGATTGAAGGCACCAGGGTGGGCCTGGCTGAGTCTCCAGGAGAGACAATGTCCAGCATAACACTTTTCAGGTCCCCAGAAAGGAAGAGGTCCAGATGGGCCAAGGCCACATCTAGGATCACGGAGGCTTTGGAAAACAAAGTGGAGGAGAAGAAAGGGGCAGCCCGGGGTCAGTTGTCGTCTCCTGTATCTGCGTCTCAACCAGGATGCAGCTGGATGCTGCTTTCTCATTGCATCGTTTTCACCATCGCCTGTTGGTTTACATTTGGGTTGTTTTCAGTTTAGTCCTATTACAAACAGTGCTGCAATGAATAGCCTTGTGCAGAGTCTTTTCACGTATGTGAGGCTTTCTTTCGACCTAGGCATACTGGGGAGAGAGGGACTGAGAGAAAGACGGAAAATTTAAAGCGAGGTCAGAGACATCAGGACTGGACCAGGAAGGCCGAAGAGTATAACTTTCCTAAAGTGCTCCTGGAAGCCTAGCTTCAACCTTACCAGCTGCAGGACATCCCAAAGTGAGGGGGTATCGGGGAGGAGTTGGAGAGAAAGGTAAAGGAAGAACTCTAGGGACTCAGGATGATCTGGGTGCCGGGAAACAGGAGCCGGAAAAAGGGGAAGATCTGCCCCGGGAAGGAGGTGTGGAAGGTGTAGATGTAGTTGCTTGTGGTGGCGTCGTAGAAGACGACCTCCCCACACTCGTGATCCACGTGGACGCCCACTTTCCTCGGACGAACCGGGAGATTCTCCCGGGTGCCGCTCTCGGTGAGCGCCTGGCACTCGGAGCCCGCGATGCGCAGCGCCCAAAAGCCGGTCAAGGGCTCCACCACCAGGAAGCCTCTCCGCGGCACTAGCCCCGAGGCCACGCCTACCAGGCAGGCCCCGCCCTCGGGTCCTCGGAGCTCCGCCTCCCAGGCCTGGCACCCGGAGGACACGCCGGGCGAGCCCAGAACGCAGCAGAACGGGAAAAAGCGCGCGGGGTCCTCGGGCTCGGCCGAGCTGTCCTGAGGAATGAAGTCCAGGGTCACTGTCTTCAGATCCTGGGAAATGACGAGGTTTGGGTGGGCCGAGGCCGCATCCAGGGTCACGGGGGCTGTGGGAAGATGAGGAGGAGAAGGAGGCGCAGCCCCGGTTCAAGTCGTCCAGCCGCCTACCCCTGAGCTCCCCCTGGATGCCGCCAATGGAGGCTTTCTCTTCCTAGTCAGAACCCTCCTTATCCCCAGAGAAGTCCAAGCCTCCTCCTCCTCCTTGAAGTTAATCCCTAAATTTCACATATGCTGCTCTGTGGGTGCGGAGCGGGAGCTCCCCGCTGGTGGTAGGGGCGTGTAATTTCAACACCCAAAGCTGAGACTATCTTCTCTTCCTTCCCCGTTTCCTGTGGTCCTTGAATCTCATACCTAAAAAACGCTTTGGGACTAACATAAGAGATGTTGAGGCTCAGACTTTCTGAGCTCGAGTAATTTTATAAAGTAGAGCCCCTCAAAGATAGGGATGAATGAAGGGTTGGAATATAGAAGGAGGAAGAGTCAGCTCCCACCCCACCACGTACGCACACTTCTAACTGGATTTGGACGTCGAGTCGTTGTTTATCAAGGTTAGAAGCGCCCCGATCCACCCTCTACAATGGCTTGAGTAGCAGTGGTTCCAGTCTCTGCTAACGATTTAGGCATGGGAGCCTCATTCTAGCTCCTGATTTGTTATCTAATCTCACACCCTCTTATTGGAATATTATTTATTTCCCTTGCTGGATGTGGAAGGTTGGGAAGAGATGGATGATGTGGGAATGTGGAGAAGAGGAGAGAGAGTGGTCAGGTTCATGGGGATAGGTTAGACGGATTATGACCCAGGCAGGCTTTACTTGTCTCTATACGCCACGCCTGGCAGAACTGCCGCCTGGGTAAATAGTTAAAAAAAAAAAAAAAAAACGTGCAAGAGATAGCTATCGGGGCTCCCTTTATCCACTAGGGGGCACTACAGCCAAAGCGATAAAGAGAAGCCAAGCGTGTGGCGGGGACGCTGGGCGTCCCAGATCATCTTTTCTGCTTTTTGCTCAAGAACACTCGCATCCTTTCTCCAAGTCTTAACATCACCACCCTCGCCATTCTCAGTAGTCCGGGCCTCTCCCCACGTTCCACTTCTTCAGCCCGACTCCTCTCAGTCAGGGACCCCTGACTGCTCTCAGCTACTCACTCAGCGCCACCTTGAGCCCTTCAGTCCACTCAGCGCCAGGGCTGCTCGGGTTCTCAGAGCTGGCTTGGTTTGGAGAAAACTCAGGAAATGAGGCCATGCTTCGGGGCCGGGGCTGGGGCCGGAGCGATGCTGGAGGGGTGGCTTTCACAGCAAAGGAGTCCTCCGATAGAGTTGAGGGGTGGAGATTTGGTGACGCTGGTTTAGTTGTTCCGTCCTCTTGGAGGGAGAAGGAAAGGAGAAAAGAGGTCAGCGGGAGAAAAGCAGCAATAACCCTCCATTACCAGAAAGTGCTGCTGAGCTCTAGACACAGCAGGAGTGATACAGGTTAGACTCAAGAAAGTACACCTGAACAAGATAGGAGTAAGTTGATCAGGAGGTGGGCATATTATTGCCTGAGGGAGGTATAATTTGGGACAGAGTAGAGGAGATGGATGAGAAGTCTTCTGTCCCCACACCCCATATCTGCTCCTATCTGCTCATGCCATCCTAGCACCTGAAGTCTTCAAGAACTGTAGATTCCACAGCTCTTCCTCCCTGTCTCTCAACTCCCCATCCCTCTTTCAGTCTCTCTAAATCCCTCTCTCTGCTCTGTTCTATTCCCCTCCCTCACCGGCTAGAACTGAGAGAAGGTTATTTCCACCTAGCTGCGGTCAGGGAGTACTATCTTGTATGTTAGGAAGCTCTCTCTGCAGTCCGGTCTCCTCCCTTCCCCTGCAGGGTCAGGTCAGCGCACCTGTCTGTGCTTTGGGTGAAGAGAGCATTCTGAGCCCCTCTAGGCTTTGAGGTCCCCTCACTACACCGCAGGAAGCCTCCGGGGTTCAGAGGCAGAACTCCTACCTGGAGAGGGTGACTCAGGCTCCGAGGTTTTGCTCGTTTTAAGGGTGTGTTTCTCCATCAGAGAATGAAATGAAGACCCTAGGAATCAGGGAGAGAAAACCAGTTTTGGTCTTGATCACCAGAAGCTGCAAATTAAAAACAAAAGCAGGCACCCTGCCAGCAAACAAAAAGAATAACAGTAGGAGGTTCTCAGTGAGGACCTCTCCCACCCTGGGGAAATCTGGAAATTTTTGGATTGTCTCGATGACAGCAGGAGGGGGCTTCTGGCCTATAGAGTTTCCTGGTGCCTGGGATGTGAAACATTCCACCCGGCACAAGGCAGGGAGCACAACAGAGACTTGTCCTCTACAAATGCCAGGAACTCCTCTCCTGGAGAAACGCTGGTGGGATAGAATCCCTAAATTCTGCTCTCTGGCTTTGGAATGCAACATGTAGTTTCTGGCTTTTGCAAAGTGAGTTCTAATTCTGTCTCTTCCACTTCGTAGTCGCGTGACTTACCTCCCCTCCCTGTATTTGCAGGGAACTCACTTATCTGTAAAGTGCACATAATGACACCCACGTTGAAGGATAGTTTTGGGATTTTGAACTATCAGATGTGGGGTGCTTAGCACACAGTGGCTCTTTAAGAAATGATACTTGGTAATGTTACTATCTCAGGTGGCAGAACCATCTCTGATGACTTTGGCACAGGCTGTTGTTACCGTGGGTCTCCATCCCCTGAGCTGTCCTCACCTCACACCCAGAGGAGTTTACCCAGAAACCTGACATACGGCGGAGGGCAGCTAATGCTACGGAGCCTGAGCTCCCTTTGCCTCCTCTTTGCCCCACCTTTTCCTCTCTTCCTCTGAGAAATGAAGAAATAAATTTACAATTGCTATTACTTTTGATACCTCTAAGTTTTGAGGTCAGTCACTGTTTTGCGAGTTACCTGAGTTGAAAATAATAAAACATATCCATATGCCTGTTCTTCTCCATCAGCTGAGGGATGGGTATTCACCATATTTGGCTTTCCTGTAGTCATCGAGACAGAATGCTTCCCCTTTGCTTTCCTCACTTTCCCCAAATGGCAGAAGTAACCATCAGTCTCTACTTACAGCTCTTTCTGTAGTTTTCCTTCATGCCTTTGAAAAATCTGTTTTTATCTCTCTTCATATCAGCCTGGAAGTTGTCTGTGGGGAGAGAACGGAATGAGATGGAGAGAGTCCAGAAAGGCTGAACAAGGAACCCAGGACTGCACAGCAGGGCACTGATTTGAAATGCCTTGGAGAAGTGGAAGCTGGTTTTGTCTCTCATATTCATCATGGACAAAGAAGGTATAAAATACTGAGAGATGCTCTTTCTGCTTCCCTGAGGTGTCTATCTAGCACAGCACTGTCCAGTAGAAATATAATGTGAGCCACAAATATCATTTTAAGTTTTCTAGTTGTCACATTAACAACTAAAGTAAAAAGAAAGTAAAATTAATTTTAATTATATATCGTTATTTCAACATATAGTATAAGAAACTATTGCTATATTTTACATTCTGTTTTCATACTAAGCCTTGTGAAACTCGATGTGTATTCTTCACTGACAGCACACCTGAATTTGGACTATTAAGCTATAAGGTGGGGCCTCTGGGTGGGGGGCTTCCTCTGGGCCTCTTCCCCCTTGTAGTCCCCGACTACTCCAGGAGAGCACAGAACGGTCCTGGGGATAGGTGGAGGGAGAAGCACTCTTTGAGAGCTCCCCTGAGAGCCACCAGTCTGGCCATGGAGAACTCTCAAGGACCCTCTTATGAGGGGTCCATCTACCTAGAGCCAGAGCAGAGGAAACATTGCTGAGAACACGTTGCCTACAAGGCCCTTCAGGATCCAGCCACTGCCACCTCCACCCCTGGGTTCCCAGACCCAGTCGTCCCCCACAGGGAGCAACAACCCTCAGACTAGGGGACTATGGAGATTGGATGAGTGTCGTGAGCAGACTCTCCAGCACCCCCTCCATCTGGGCTTTAATAGGGCTGAGTGGCAGTTGAGGGACCATGTTTGTGTGTAGGGGGAAGACAAAACAGACCATACCCAGCTCCACCCTAAGCTGTGCCCTTGAAGCCCCTCCCCCACTCCCAAATATGTGCTGAAGTGGATGGGGCAGGGGGCCCTTCATTGCAATTCTAAACTGGAACCAAAGTATTTTAAACCTGAGGTGACCATAAAGTTGCTGGATTGCGTGAGATTACACCCAGTGGGATGGGAGAACTGGACAAAGCAGAACAGTTACTGGAGGAAAGAAAAGCTCAAACAACAGAACTAAGAACAAAACCAAACCCTGTTCCCTGTTTGTGTGTGGCCAGTAGAGATTCCTGGCTGAATGACTGGGGTCCTTGGGGCGTTGCCCGGGCCTTCCTTTCTCATAGGCACATGGCAGGTATGTGTATGTGTGCGTGGGTGGGTGGGTGGGTCTTGTGATATTTCTAGGAAGAAAACTCCATCCAGTTGTCTTTACTCCTGGCCTAGACAAGCACAGCCCTCCCAGTGAAGGGAGTCCTTACAAATACCGAACCTTCTTACTAGTTGCAAACCCAGATGAGCTTTTGAAAGATCTCTGACTGAACATCCTAAGTCATCCACTTCTGTTCTTACTGATTTCTGTTTCCCTGTAAGTCTGGAAGAGGGACTTCCCCAGAATGTCACTGACTTTGAATCTATGTTCTCTTCTTCTGTAGTCAGGACTAGACAGAGCTCCAGTGTGCACCAGAGCAGTAACAGTCACTTGCTGGAGATCACACAGTTCCTGCCTGAGGGCCCTGGGAAGCCAGGACCCTGCTTCCTCTCTGGTCCACTGGACAAATGAGCATCAACTTCCCGACAGCCACTGCACCAGGCAAGGGGGCATTTTGTGGCTCTGACAGGAGTCAGGGAGGCAGACAAATAACAGATGATTAAGATAGAGTGTAAGAAATCCCTGAAAGGAAGCACAGTGATGCATGGGAAGTGCTCAGCAGAGAGCCTTGCACTTGAGAGGGCCTGTGATTATTATAGGCATGTAGAGAAGTTACAATCCGGTTTCCATGGGGTGATGGGGGAAGACTCTTCTAAAGGGAGATGAATGGAGAAGGAGATAGCTTTTTCCTTACCTTTGAATCTCTTCAGGCTCTCTGTGAGGGAGTCATGTCTTGATTGTGCTTCACTGAGTTTTTTCTCCAGGGCCAGAGGAACAGGGGATGGGCTGAGATAGCGAAACCCTTCACTCCTAGGAAGATATGGCTAAGCTGCATGATGAGATCAGGGGATGGGGTGCAGGGGAGGAGGAGCTGTGACAGGAGATGGTATCCTAGGGGTGAGGGAGGAAGTCGGGGGATAGTGAGCTGGGAGTTGGGAGGCCAGGGCTAGGGATGTGGGGCCAGGGTGAAGTGGGCCACGGGGAGAGATGGAAATGGAGATGGGAGATGAAGCCAGAGAGAAGGAGAGAAGAGAAAGGAGGCAGGAAGAAGTGGCAGGGAGATGGGGTAGGGACCTAGGAGCCATCCAGTTGAACAAGAGGGCATGCAGGAGGGTTAAGGAGAGAGGAGAATCCATGCTGAAGAAACAGGAACCTGAGGAAAACAGCTCTTCTCTTCAGCAACCAACCTGCCTGCTGATATGCTCAGTTTGGGCCTTTCCTACCTGCAGCCTAAGTATTTGACTGCAAAGTTAGACGGAGTGTACAGGAATTTGTGAGGGAGGAATGTTGAGTGTGTTTGAATATGTATCGAACATTGTAGGATGAATGAATCAGTAGGCAAAATGCATTTGGGATGGCCCATCATACCTGCACAGGACAACTTTGACGTCCTAGAAGAGAAAGAGAAAGAGCACAACCTCAGCACCAGGTTAGGAGGAACTGCAGGCCCTGCTGGGTGTGGGCGGAGGAGGTAGAGAACACCTCCACGCCCCTCTTTCTCTTCCCACCTGCCATGAAGGGCTCCTCCAAGAACTGTCTGATATGCCAGTAGGCGGGAAAATGATTAGACCTCACTAGGAACTGAGGGGAAGTAGGAGTGAGATTTTGGAGATGAAATTTGTCTCTGGGACTAAACCAGAGACAGGAGAGGGAGGACAGGAAGAAGGGCTGGAATAGCTTTCATGATCTTTCTTGAAAGAAAGAAATGGATTCCTGAACTGGTGGGAGTGGGAGATGAATTCAGGAGGGATCTCAGCTTATTTTGCTCATCAGCTAGGTCCGCACCGTCCAGTATGGTAGCCACCAGCCACACATGGCTACTGATCACTTGAAATATGGCTAGTGTGATAAGGAACTGAATTTTTAGTTTTTTTGAATTTCCAGTAATCCAAGCTTAAATTTAAAAATTGAAGTGGTGTAAAATCCTTTTTCCATTAAACACAACTATATTGATTTGGTAGGATTGCATTTTACTCTAACCATTGAAAATTTAGGATCCAAATGGAGATCTGCCGACCTATAAAATATACACCAGATTTCAGACTCAGTACAAAAAAGAAAACAAAAAAGAGATCATAAAATATTTCATTAGTATTTTTTAAACATTGGTTAACAGGTTGAAATGATAATATTTTGATATATTGACTTAAATAAAATATTTTATTAAAATTAATTTTACCTGTTTATCTTTTTAATGTGTCTACTAGAAAAATTTTAAATTACATATGTGGCTTGCAATATAATTCTAAATTAAATATTTGGTTCACGTTATCTTTCTATTGGACAGCATTGGGCTAGGGTAGGGTGATGGGAGCAATCTCAGGTATTCTGCCAGGTGGTCAGAGCTCTGACCTGTCACTAGGGATGGGCTGCTGCCTTTTTGCAACTCAGCCCCCAAGGGATTCTTACCCGAAGCAGCTGACTGGGTGGCAAGCGCTGCATGGCCTTGACAGAATCAATCAACTTCCTGAAAGAGTTCAGCTGCGCCTCGGCAGAAGCAATGTAGAATTTCTTTCCCTTCTCTTCCTCCTGACCCAGCCAAAGTACCCGTGACAGTAGGAAACTCTCCTCTTCCTTTAGGACTTGACGCAGCTGCTTGAATTCTGTGATGATCCTTTGCTTTTCAAGTTCCACCTGGGCCTGGGGGCAAGGAAAATGGACACCCGGAAGATGAGAGGGTGGCTCCAAGGTCCATCTAGCCCATTTTATTCAAGTTTTCAATTTTATTAAGTTTATACCAATGCAATGTGCTGTGGCAGACCTAGAGGAAAGGACAAGTGAGGAGAACTTATTATGTGCTGAGTTTTAGTTTTAGGATATTTATTTATGATTTATCATTTTTGCCTTTGAGGACCTAAGTATCTTTTTTTTTTTGAGGAAGATTAGCCCTGAGCTAACTACTGCCAATCCTCCTCTTGAGCTAACATCTGTGCCCATCTTCCTCTACTTTATACGTGGGATGCCTACCACAGCATGGCTTTTTGCCAAGCGGTGCCATGTCCGCACCTGGGATCCGAACCAGCGAACCCCGGGCCGCCGAGAAGCAGAACATGTGAATTTAACCACTGCACCACCAGGCCTGCCCTGAGGGCCTAAGTATCTAATAATTAACATCTACCTAATAGATGTTAAGTATCTAATACGTTTCCAGAAGGCTTTTCAGTTTATAATCTTTCACATAGATTTTTCTTTTGACACAAAAAAACAGGTGAAGATATTGGGTGGCTTTACAGTGTCTTCATTTTCTAACTGGGGAATCAACCTCTGTTAGTAAGGGACTATGAGGGGCAGAGCTAGGTCTTCAAACTGGTATTTCCAATTCTAAGACGAGCACTGGTTTCCCTTACACTACCCGCCCCCAGGTGGAAGAGACCAAAGCACCCATCTACTCCAATAATACAAGGCTGGACGTGGAAGGTGCTCCTACCACACGGCAAGCCAAGTGCTGCAGTGGAGAGGAAGGCATGAACACGCCCCGACCCATGATGCCACTATGCTTCCCATCCCTCCCAGTCTGCCCCTCCTATATTCCACCCTGTTCTTGCCCTCTGTTTCTGGGTTAGGGGTCTCTTTCTGAGTGGTCAGTGTAATAAGGGGTTCCAGGAGCTTTTGCAGAGATGTTTCTGCTTCCAAGCTCATAGGCCAGAGACACCGACACCTGAGGTTTTTCTTACCATGAAGACATTGATCTTCTGTTCACCTTGTTCCTTCAGTTGTACTATCACCTTCTCCTTTTCCTGCAAGACCTCAACCTGCGATTGAAGCTGCCCCTGTGGAGAGAGAGTTGCTCTGGCAAGCTGTGCCTGGAGTTCTCCCAGCCTCATAACACTGTCCTGATTGCTCAGGATGGGGGGTGAGGCTCACCAGGGTGATTCCTGATGTAATTATTAGAGCCCCCTCTCCTTGTCAGTCTAGGGAGCGGGGGTGTGATGGGGGAGGGAGAAATCTGGAACCTAAGTGACCTATAAGAGAGGAATGTTGTTATAAATTATAACTAATAAATCATGACTAATATTTGGATGGGGTTTTAGGATTATCAAAGAACTCCCACAAACTCTCCCTCATTTGTCATCCAACAGCTCTTAAGAGGTACATTATATTTGCCCCATTTGAAAGGTGAGACACCTGAGGCTCAGAGAGGTAAAGTGATTCCTTGAAGGTCATACAGTGAACTCAGGAGTCTGAACTTGAGCCCAAACCTTCTGACTCAAAATTCCGTGTTCTTTCCATTCTTCCTTATGCCTTGATTTCAACAGGCAGCAGTTCTCTAAACTCAAAACTTTGAACCCGCTGTGCCTGACCATGAGCTGCCTACTCAAGGATGGGGGCAATGAGGTGCAAGCTCAGAGGGAAGAGGTAACAGTTTTCAAGTCCTCACTGAACTCGTGGGTCTGATGCAGAGACTGGAAAGGGACCCCAAATGCCTACCTGATAACTCAGGGCAGCTTCTTCTATCAAACTTATCTTGTGCAGTTTGTGGTCCTTGGATTCACGACACACCACACAGAGGAACATCCCATCGTACTCACAGAAGTAGTGGAACTTCTCCCCATGTCTCTGACATTTTAGCTCTTCCCTTCCTGGCTGCATCTCAGAGGGATCCATAGCTTGGATTTTTTCCACCAGATTCACCAGCAGCCAGTTGGGCCTGAACGTGTCCCTCCTCACAAGTTTGTTGCAGAGGGGACAGTTGAGAAAGTCGTTTGATGTGTCCCCACTCTGGGTGATGCATCGGAGGCAGAAATTGTGCCCGCAGTCAATGGTGACAGGGTCCTGCAGAATATCCATGCAGATGGGGCAAATCACTTCCTCCTTCAGTGTGTTGGTAAAATGTTGGCTGGCCATGATAGGGCAGAGGGCTGCTTCGGGTCTGTAGAAAGTCTAGATGTCTGCTGTGGACACTGGTTCCAGGAAGGGAGAAGGAAACAGAGGAGGTGGAGTTCAAAGATTCCGCCAAGTAGAGAAGCAGGGAGGGAGGAAAAGAAAAGAAAGAGAGAGAAAATAAATGAATAACAGAAAAGGGTAAAAATTAGAATGTAGGGAGTATTATAAAGAGAGGAAAACAGATGGGCAATCCTACCTCACTCCCTCTTGAGAACAAATGGATATTGTGAATGGATACATGCTGCTTATAAAATAGGGTAAGTTGTCCTGAACCTTGGACTAATTAAAGATATATTGATAAGGCAGTTAAGCACATCAGAAGGATCAAGGTAACAAAGTCCACTCACAAAGGTTCAGGTGGGGAGTGGAGGAGCTGGGGGACACTTCCTGAAACATCATAGCTAGTTCACCACTGTAGCTCTAGGCATTTCTTGCATGCAGAGCCCAAGCCTGGGGAAAGCATATGGAAAGGAAGGGAGGGGGTAATTCTCTACCTCAGGTTTTTTGGCTCCGCACTTTGAAGAGTTTTGTGAAAATGTGGAAGATGTAATCACTCACCTTGGGGAATTTCCAGTTATCAGGAGAAGGAACCATTCCTCTCACTAGGGGATTCCTAGTACAGTGGGAGAAGCGAGGAATTTCCTGTCTGGAAGGTCATTCTCTGTTTTTCTATGTTGTTCACTACTCTGGTTGTTCTTTGACTTCCCCACAGCACCTGAAGCACTTTTTCCTCTTTTGGATTTTTTCCCTTGTATGTCTTCAATAGTCTGATGTCTCCATGTCCATTCTTAGTTTGGTCTATCTGTGTTTTTCCCTGCTTCTTGGTGCTTCTCTGATCCCTGAATTGCTTTCCCTTGCGGCTTCTGTTCTGACTAGGAAAATATCAACCAGCATCGCCTACACACCTTTCTGTAGCTCAGCACATTTACGTCATAACCTTTTCTCCTTCCCTCTTGTGTTGAGAGTAGAAAATCTTCCTTCCCTCCCTTGTCATGTGGGTCCCACCTTCCATCCTTACCTCCCCTCTCTCCAGTATCTGACGTCTGTCCCTGCCAAGAAGCATACCATCAATTTTTATCTGATCTTAATCTTAGGTCAAACAGGGATTATGGGTAATTTTATGATTATAATCAGAGTGATCATACATTCTGGTTTGCCTGGGACAGTCCTCAGTTTCCCCTTTGTCCTCTGTAATTAATAGCACCTCCTTTCCTTCTGAAAAGTGTCCAGTTTGGATGATCCATTATATAATCACCCTAATTATAGCAACTGTTGGAACCCAAAGGCTTTCTGAAATGCTATATCTCCATTTCAGAAATGTTATGAAAAAGTCTTTCTCTTTGTTTGCTTTGGGATTGAATTAAAGCATTAACATGTGTATAATATTTTACAGTTTATACCCATCCTAAACTGCTGGCCCCTGGAGGCAGAATTTAACTTTTAGACAGGTTTTGTTTGAATGGCATGGCAATTTGAAAAATAATGATAATTTGAATGCCTGTATAGAGGGTGGCTGCTTATCCCACCTTTGTTACCTCTTGTCTGCCCAGCCTCTGAAGGCATTTGACCTTGCCCCCTAGCTTTATTGAGATAAAATTGACATATAACATTGTATAAGTTTAAGGTGTACAATATGGTGATTTGATATATATTTACATGTGAAATGTTCACCACAGTAATTTTGCTTAACATATGTTGTTGTTATGGTGAGAATACTAACAATCTATTCACATAGCAACTTTCAAGTATACAATATTGTTAACTATAGTCACCACACTGTACATTAGATCTCTGGAACTTACTCTGCCTATAACTGAAAGTTTGTACGCTTTAGCAAACATCTCCCCATTTCACCCACCCGTCAGACCCTGACAACCACCATTCTACTCTCCAATTCTAAGAGTGCGATGTTTTAAAATTCCACATATAAATGAGATCATACAGTGTTTGTCTTTCTCTGACATTTCACTTAGCATAATGCCCTCAAGGTCCATTCACGTTGTCACAAATGGTAGGATTTTCTTTTCTTTTCTTTTCTTTTTTTAAACTCAAATTTGAGTTCATAATAGTTTACGTCATTGCTAAATTTCAGTTGTACATTATTTCTTGTCTGTCACCACGTAGGTGCTCCCCTTGACCCCCCGTGCCTACCCCCCACCCCACTTCCCCTGGTAACCACTGAACTGTTTTCTTTGTCCATGTGCTTGTTTATATTCCACATATGAGTGAAATCATCTGGTGTTTGTCTTTCTCAGTCTGGCTTATTTCGCTAAGCATAATTCCCTCCAGGTCTTTCCATGTTGTTGCAAATGGGATGAATTTGTCTTTTATTCTGGCTGAGTAGTATTCCATTGTGTATATATATATATATATATATATATATATATATATATATATATATCATATCTTCTTTATCTAATCATCAGTTGATGGGCACTTGGTTTGCTTCCATGTCTTGGCTATTGTGAATATTGCTGCGATGAACTTACGGGTACATATGTTACTTTGGATTGTTGATTTCAAGTTGTTTGGGTAGATACCAAGTAGTGGGATAGCTGGGTCATATGGTAGTTCTATTTCTAGTTTTTTGAGGAGTCTCCATACTGTTTTCCGTAGTGGCTGCACTAGTTGGCATTCCCACCAGCAGTGTACGAGGGTTCCCTTCTCTCTCCACCCTTCTCCAACGTTTATTATTTTTAGGCTTAGTGATTATAGCCATTTTAACAGGCATAAGGTGGTATCTTAGTGTAGTTTTGATTTACATTTCCCTGATTAATGATGCTGAACATCTGTTGATCTGTTTATTGGCGATCTGTATATCTTCTTTGGAAAAATGTTTATTCATATCCTCGGCCCATTTTTTAATCTGGTGTTTTTGTTGTTGTTGTTCAGTTGTGTGAGTTCCTTATATATTATGGAGATTAACCCCTTATTGGATGATTTGCAAAAATTTTCTCCCAACTGGTGGGCTGTCTTTTGGTTTTGATCCTAGTTTCTTTTGCCTTGCAGAAGCTCATTAGTCTGATGAACTCCCACTTGTTTATTTTTTCTTTTGTTTCCCTTGTCTGAGAAGACATGGTATTCAAAAAGATCCTTTTAAATTCAATGTCAAAGAATGTACTACTTGTATTATGTTCCAGGAGTTTTATGGTTTCAGGACTTATCTTCGAGTCTTTGATCCATTTTGAGTTTATTTTTGTGTATGGCATGAGAGAATGATCTACATTCATTCTTTTGCATGTGGCTGCCCAGTTTTCCCAATACGATTTATTGAAGAGACTGTCTTTTCTCCATTGTATGTTCCTGGCACCTTTGTTGAAGATTACCTGTCTGCATATGTACGGTTTTATTTCTGGGCTTTCAGTTCTGTTCCATTGATCTCTGTGCCTGTTTTTGTACCAGTACCTTGCTGTTTTGAAGTCAGGGATTGTGATGCCTCCAGCTTTGTTCTTTTTTCTGAGGATTGCTTTAGCAATTTGGGGTCTTTGGTTGCCCCATGTGAATTTTAGGATTCTTTGCTCTATTTCTGTAAAGAATGTCATTGGGATTCTGACTGGGACTGCATTGAGTCTGCAGATTGCTTTGGGTAGTATGGACATTTTAATTATGTTTATTCTTCCAATCCATGTGCATGGAATCTCTTTCTATCTCTTTATATCATTATCTTTTTCTTTCCATAATGTCTTATAGTTTTCATTGTATAAGTCCTTCACCTCCTTAGTTAAATTTATTCTCAGGTATTTTATTCTTTTTTTTTGCAATTGTAAATGGAATTGTATTCTTAAGTTCTCTTTCTTAAGTTCGTTATTAGAGTACAGAAATGCAACTGATTTTTGTAAGTTGATTTTGTACCCTGCAAATTTACTGTAGTTGTTAATTATTTCTAATAGTTTTCCAATAGATTCTTTAGGGTTTTCTATGTATAAGATCATGTCATCTGCAAACAGTGAGAGTTTCACTTCTTCACTCCCTATTTGGATCCCTTTTATTCCTTTCTCTTGCCTAATTGTTCTGGTCAAAACCTCCAGTACTATGTTGAATAAGAGTGGTGATGGGATTTTCTTTTTTTAATGGCTGAATTATATATATATGTATGTATATATATATATATATACATACATATATATATATATGTGATCTCTCTCTCTCTCTCTCACACACACACACACGTATCTCACATTTTTTTAAAAATCTATTCATACATCGATGGGCACAGGTTGTTTCCAAGTCTTGGCCATTGTCAATAATGCTGCTATGAACATGGGATTGCAGGTATCTCTTGGAGATTCTGATTTCATCTTCTTCAGATATATATCCAGAAGTTGGACTTCTGGATTGAATGGTAGTTCTATTTTTCATTGTTTGAGAAATCTCCATACTGTTTTCCATAGTGGGTGAACCAATTTACATTCCTACCAACAGTGCACGAGTGTTCCCTTTTCTCCACATCCTTGCCAGCATTTGTTGTCTTGTTGATAATGGCTTTTCTAACAGGGATAAGATGATATTGCATTGTGGTTTTGATTTGCATTTCCCTAACGATTAGTGGTGTTAAGCACTTTTTCACATACCTTTTGGCTATTTGTATGTCTTCTTTGGAAAAGCATTTATTCAGCCTATTAAATCTTCTTTTTAATGGATTATTTGTGTTTTTTTGCTATTGAGTTGTATGGGTTCCTTATATATTTTAGATATTAATCCCTGATTCAATATATGGTTTGCAAATATTTTCTCCCATTCCATAGGTTGCTTTTTCATTTTGTTGATTGTTTCTTTTGCTGTGCAGAAGTGTTTTAGTTTGGTGCAGTCCCACTTGTTGATTTTCACTTTTGCTGCTTGTGCTTTTGGTGTCATACTCGAAAAATCATTGTTGAGGCCAAGGTAGAGGAGCTTTCTAGTATGTTTTCTTCAAGGAGTTTTATGGTTTCAGGTCTTATATTTAAGTCCTTAATTTTGAGTTAATTTTTATGAGTGGTGTAAGATAGGGGTCCAATTTCATTCTTTTGCATGTGGATATTCAGTTTTCCCAGCACCATTTATAGAGCAGACTATCCTTTCCCCATTGAGTATTCTTGGCTCCCTTGCCAAACATTGGTTGACTGAATATGGGTAGGTGTATTTCTGTGCTCTCAATTCTGTTCCGTTGGTGTGTCTGTTTTTATGCCAGTGCCATGCTGCTTTGATTACTATAACTTTGTAATATAGTTTGAAATCAGGAAGTATGATGCCTCCAGCTTGTTTTTTTTCTCAAGATTGCTTTGGCTATTTGGAGTCTTTTGTGGCTCCATACAAATTTTAGGATTGTTTTTTCTATTTCTGTGAAAAATGCTATTAGAATTTTGATAGAGATTGCACTTAATCTACAGATGGCTTTGGGTAGTATGGAAATTTTAACAATATTAACTCTCTGGTCCATAAATACAGGATATCTTTCCATTTATTTGGGTCTTCTTAAATTTATTTCACCAATGTCTTATAGTTTTTGGTGTATAGATCTTTCACTTTCTTGGGTAAATTTATTCCTAAGTATTTTATTGTTTTTGATGCTATTATAATTGGGATCATATTCTTTATTTTTTTTCACATAATTCATTGTTAGTGTACAGAAATGCAACTGATTTTCGTATATTGATTTTGTATCCTGAAACTTCACTAAATTAGGTTTAACAGTTTTTTGGTAAAGTCTTTAGGATTTTCTATATACAAGATCATGTCATCAGCAAATAGACATGATTTTGCTTCTTCCTTTACAATTTAGATACCTTTTATTTCTTTTTCTTGCCTAATTGCTCTGGTTAGGACTTCTAGTACTATGTTTAATAGGTTTGGTTAGTGTGGGTGCCCTTGTCTTGCTCCTGATCTTAGTGGGAAAACTTTCAACCTTTCACAATTGAGTAGGATCTTACCTGTGCGTTAGTCATATATGGTCTTAAATATGTTGAGGTATTTTCCTTCTATACATAATTTGTTGAGAGTGTTTATCATGAAATCATGGTGAATTTTTTCAAGTGCTTTTTCTGCATCTATTGAAATGATCATATGATTTTTGTCTTTCATTCTATTAATGTGGTGTATCACATTTATTGATTTGTGTATGTTGACTCATCCTTGCATCACAGGGATAAATCCCACTTGATCATGACGTATGATTCTTTTCGTGTGCTATGGAATTTGGTTTGAGAATTCAAATCGTTGAGAATTTTTGCATCTATATTCATTAGGGATATTGGCCTGTCATTTTCTTTTCTTGTAGTATCTTCATCTGGCTTTGACAGCAAGGTGATGCTGCCCTCATTAAATGAGTTTAGGAGTGTTCCCTCTTCTTCAATTTTTTGTAAGAATTTGAGAATTGGCATTTTTTTCTCTGGATGATCAATCCATTGTTGAAAGTGGGGTATTGAAGTCCCCTACTATTATTGTATTGTTGCCTATTACTCTGTTCAGATCTGTTGGTATTTGTTTAATATATTTAGGTACTTTGATGCTGGGTACATATATATTTACAATTATTACATCCTTTTGATAAATTAACCCCTTTATCATTATATAAAGACCTTCTTTGCGTCTGGTTACCAGTTTTGGCTTAAAGTCTATTTTGTCTGATATAAGTATAGCTACCTCTGCTCTCTTTTGGTTTCCATTTGCATGAAGTATCTTTTTCCACCCCTTCACTTTGAGCCTATGCATATCCTTGAAGCTGAAGTGAGTTTCTTGTGGCCAGCATATCATTGGGTCTTGTTTATTTATCCATTCAGTCATTCTGTTCTTTTTGATTGAAGAATTTAATCCATTTACATTTAAGGTAGTTATTGACAGGTAAG